AACTCTAAATTTTTAAAAAAAAAAGTAAAAAAAAAAAAAAAAAAAAAAAGTGCCACCAAAGCAAAATAAGAGGGCCTGGTGAACCGGAGATGCTGCAGACGGGGTGGCTTTCATTGTAAGATGAGGAAGTTTCAGGCAGAAGAACAATAAAGAAATGGACGATGTGTTGACTGCTTTTCTCTTTTCCCCTCAGGCCTGCTGTTCCTGCATTGTTTTGTCAACTTGGAGGGAAGGTGGAGGGCGGCCCTTAGTTAATGGGGGAAGCAAAACATGAGATGCACCTTGTCTTTGGGCTGTGAAGGAGCCCATGAGTCCCTCCCCACTGGGCCTCCATCTTCCCATGAGTCTCTCTCCCTGCTGGGCCTCCATTTTTGCCAGAACCTGGGGCTTTGCAGCCAACTAATCCTGTAGGCCTTAAGTTCTGTCTCTCTCTTCCTTCCCTGCTTCCCCCACCCCCATCTTTCTCTCTAGTGAGCATGCTTGCCTTATAGCAAAGTCTTGGTGGATTTTGCCCACGGAGAGAGGTTCATCACTCCCTCAGCCTCTACGCCAGAGCTGTAGGGTTTTCTGGAGTGATTTTTCAGGCTTGGCTTTCAGTAGTTGTCCTTCATTTTTTTTAAAAAATTATTTTATTTAACTTTATTTTTTTATTATTATTTTCCAGTTTTTGATCAGAGAGAAACAGGGAACGTGAGAAAGCAGGTCAGCAAGTCTGGGACTTGAACCATAGTCGGCCATGTGGGAATCGAGTATCTTTTTTTATTTTTATTTTTTAAGAAAGAATGATTTAATTTAATTTATTCATTCATTTATTTTAATTTGACCAGAGAAAGACAGACAGAGAGGGGGAAAGCAAGAAAACAAGCCACCAGGGCCAGGACCTGAATTGTGGTCAGCCATGTGGAAGTGTCCAGCACCTTAACCACCATGCCACCTGCTGGCCCTCCTTCCTTTATTTTTATTCATTTTGCTATAGGGTATGCGCACTTGCTGGAGATAGGAGATGAGAAATCACCCTCCAGGAGGGATGGCAGTGCTGCTATCCCTTCTCCATTCTCTCGGGACTTTTGGGCACACATGTGCCTGGCATGATTTTCAAGTGACCAGGTCCAGGGCTGGGGCTGCAGAGTCACGTGGGATCCAGCCACCTGAACTTCCATGCCCCCTGCTGGCCCTAAAGTTTATCTCTTCCTTGAGCAAAAGAGCAGGATCTGAGAGAGAGAGAGCAGCCAGTAGCGGCACCTGGTCACACTACAGGTCCCTCTCCATTGGGATTTTGTGGGATTTGGGGTACGTGTGCCGCCATGTTTTTTAAGCTGCCAGGGCCAGAATTCAAACCATGGTCAGCCATGTGGGATCCAGCTCTGTATGTGCAATACCTAACTAAATTTCACCCTTTTTAAAAAAGATTATTTAACTTTATTATTATTTTCCAGTTTGATCAGACAGAGAGAAAAAGAGGGAAAATGAGAAAGCAAGTCACTAGATCTGGGACTCAAACCACAGTCAGCCATGTGGGAGTCCGGCACCTTTAACCACCACGCCACCTGCTGGTCCCCAATTTTACTTTTTATTTTTTTCATTTATTTTTTATTTCTTGTTCTTTTATACATTCAATCACATTGTTTAGCTTACGAAGTGAACATTTCAATATGTGAACATTTCTCCCCAGTCCAGTTGATCAAAATATCTTCAACAGATAATATATTTCTTTATCCCATTAATGTTTTACCTCTATTTTTCTTCAAAATGTCCTTCCTCAGACTCTACTTTTTCACAAACAGTATATCTGATATTCACAACCATTTACTGTGTTTATATCCTTTAGTCAATCGGTTTCAGTCATAGAGTGTGGACACTCGGTATATATTAAATGGGGACTTAGGAGAGATTTTTGTTATAAGGCATGTGTGCTCACCAGAGAGAGCAAGAAATCACCTCACCCCTGGGGAGGTAGCCACGCCGCAATTCCTTCTCCAATCTCCTCTCGGGATCTTGGGCACACACACATGTACCCGGTATGAGTTTTAAGCCACCAGGCCCCAGACTCGAACTGTGATTGACTGTGGGAATCCAGTGATGTTACCATTATACCATCTGCTGGTCTCAATTTTATGTAATCTTTAAAAATTTGCTATAGTGCACATGCACTCACCAGAGAGAGGGGAAGTGAGAAAGCAAGCTGCCAGGCCCAGGACTCAAACCACGGTCGGCCATGTAGGAGTCCAGCATCCCAACCACCATGCCACCTGCAGGTCCACTCTATGCTTTTATTTTTGCTGTTTTTGTTTTTAAGATATCCCTGCCTCTGGTCTGGGGCCCAAGAGCCCTCCCTGCAGCCACGGTACACAGCTGGTAGAGGACATAGTGAAGTTAAACCTGGCAGATGGCATGGTGGTTAAGGGCTGGGCTCCCACATGGCTGACCATAGTTCAAGTCCCAGACCTGACAGTTTGCTTTCTGTTCCCCCTACCCTTGTTGTCTTTGTGTCTCTGCTGAATGTACATACCCTATAGAAAATTTAAAATACAGGGACCAGCAGCTGGTGTAATGGCTATGTCGCTGGACTCGCATGTCGACACCAGTTCAAGTCCCAGACCCAGTGGCTTAAACTCAAGCTGGGCACGTGTGCGTGCATGCCCACCCAAGATCCTGAGAGAATGGAGAAGAGGGAACCAGCAGTTAGTGTAATGGCTATGTCGCTGGACTCCCACGTAGTTGACCGCGGTTCCCATCCCAGACCCGGTGGCTTAAAACTCACACTGGGCGCATGTGCGTGCGTGCCCAAGATCCCGAGAGGAGAATGGAGAAGGGATTGCGGCGTGACCATCCCCCCTGAGGGGTGATTTCTCACTTTCTGCACGCGCCCTATAGCGAAAATCTCTCCAAAAAAAATAATAAAAGAATGGAGGAGAAGGGATTGTAGCGTGGCCATCCCCCCTGGGGAGGGAGGTGATTTCTCTCTGTCTCTGTCTCGCTCTGTCTTTCTGGCAAGCTCACAGACCCTATAGCAAAAAACCTTTCAAAAGATAAAAAAAATATATAGTAATAATGGAACCATCAGATGGCATAGTGGTTAGGTCGCTGGACTTCCACAGGGTCAAATGCAGTTTAAGTTCCGGACCAGGAGGCTTCAAACTCAGGCTTGATGCATGTGTGTGAGTGTCCAAGATGCCGGGAGGAGAATGGAGAAGGGTTTGCACCATGGCCATCCCTCTGGGGGGTGATTTTTCACTTTTCCTCTCACTGTGTCTGACATACACTCTAGGGGGTGGGGGGACTGTAAAAAATACATATATTTGATATATATAATACAGTGAAAATAAAAACATTAGGGGGACCAGCAGGTGGTTAAGGTGTTGGACACTCCTACATGGCTGACCATAGTTCAAGTCCTGGACCTGGTGGCTGCTTGCTTTCTCAATTCTTTTTCTGTCTCTGTCTCTGTCAAATTAAAAATGAATGAATAAATAAAATTTAATAATTATTTTTTAAAAAGTTAAACATTAGCTTGTCCTACTCTATTGTGACACATCCACACTGGTACCCAGTGCCACAATATTGACCTCAAGAAACGTGCAGCTTTTTCAGGGGCTCCATGGGAGTCCTGTGATTCCATTCAGGCATAGCCTCCTCCTCTATAGACCTTGGCAGACCTGAGCCTTAGGCCTGTGGCCATCGGGTGGGAGGAAACTCGTGCCCGTCTGCTCCTCCAGAAAAGGCAGGTGCGTGCTCTCCCCTGACTGCTGGCACCAGCACCTTCCAAACCCATCTCTCTTTTTTTTTTAATTATTTAATTTTATTTATTCATTCATTTAATTGGGCCAGAGAGAGACACAGGAAAGTGAGAAAGCAAGCCACCAGGTCCCAGACGAACTGTAGTCGACCGTGTAGGAGTGTCCAGTGCCTTAACCACCACGCCACCTACTGGTCCCCCTCCCAAACCCATCTTAGTGAGGAGGGCCAGGAGTGAAAGAGTGGGCTGTCAGGGAGGTGGTGATTTGTCAGGCCAAGTATTTTTTTTAAAAAGAATTATTTATTCAATTTTATTTATTCATTCATTTATTTTAATTTGACCAGAGAGAGGGAGAGAGAAGAAAAGTGAGAAAGCAAGCCACCAGGTCTGGGACTTGAACTGTGGTCAGACATGTAGGAGCATCCAGCATCTTAACCACTATACCAACTTGCTGGTCCCCTGGGCCAAGTCTTGAATGAAGACAGGAATAGGGTGCTAGGATTAAGAGCAGCCTGTGTGAAGGTTTAAAGGTGAGACCAAGTATGACAGGCTAAGAACAGAGAGGGCAGGCCAACCAGGTGGTGGTGGTGAAGGCGGCTGATCCTACATGGCCAACTTTGTGATTTGAATCATGGACCCCACAGCTTGAAAAACACACCGGGATGGGGGAGAAGGGATTGCGGCGTGACCATCCCCCCTGGGGGGGTGATTTCTTGCTTTCTGTCTCTGTCTCTGTCTGTCTGGCAAGTGCACACGCCCTATAGCGAAAACCTCTCAAAAAAAATAATAAATAAATAATCCCAAGAGAACAGAAGAGAAGGGATTGCAGAGGGTTCAGTCCCCCCAGGGATTGCTTTCTCACTTTCCCTCTCTCGTCCTCCAGGAATGATGGGGGCCCTATAGCAAAGTAAAAAAATAAGAACAGGGAACCAGCAGTTGGCATAATGGCTGTGTCGCTGGACTCCCATGTAGTCGACTATGGTTCACGTCCTGGACCCGGTGGCTTAAAACTCACGCCAGGCACGTGTGCGTGTGTGCCCAAGATCCCAAGAGGAGAATGGAGGAGAAGGGATTGCGGCGTGGCCATCCCCCCTGGGGAGTGATTTCTCGCTTTCTGTCTCTCTGTCTCTCTCTGGCTGTCTGACGAGCGCATGCGCTCTATAGCAAAAACCTCTAAAAAAAAAAATTGCATGAATACTGGAATGAACAGAAACTAAATGAATCACTGTGCCTCGCAAATCCAGCCCAGCCCCAACTCTTCCCTCCAGACGCTTTTTCCAGAGGGTTAGGACCCTCACTGAGGAGGTCCTCCACCACCCCACTGCCCCTCTCAGGCAGAGTTGGGTTCAAATCACACCTAAGTGTATGGGCCTCGGTTTACTAATCTATAAATCCTTAGAGAGGCAGCCTCCACTCCCCACTGTTCTAATCATTTTTTTGGAGAGTTTTTTTCTATAGGGCGCGTGTGCTTGCCAGAAAGAGAAAAAATAAGAAATCACCCTCCAGGGGGGATGGCCACACCGCAATCCCTTCTCCTCAATTCTCCTCTTGGGATCTTGGACACGCACACACACGCCCGGCGTGAGTTTAAGCCACCGGGTCCAGGACTCGAACCACAGTCGACTACGTGGGAGCCCAGCAACATAGCCATTATGCCAACTGCTGGTCCCCATCCCACACTGTTCTAGTCTTAAACACGGGGGTCGGGTGATACTGGGATCTAGCCCTGTATCCCCATTCACACCACCATCATGACCCCAGAGATGACGAAGCCTCTTCTATCCAGCTAGGAAGCCCAGAAGCTCCGGGTTCGAATCCTCCTAGCTCTTTCGAGACCTGGAGCAGGAACCACGACAAGCTTTTCTCTAAAGCGAGGTGTCCCTACCCACTTCCCTGCTCCCCCTGGCTGCAACCCCCACACACTCCATAAAAGGGGGCCACCGCTAGAGCCAGGTGCGAGGAACAGCGAGTTTATTGCAGGTTCCAAAGGGGAACCCGGCATTCGCGGTTGGCGGGGGAGCGACACCTTCCACTCGCGTCCGCTGGCCGGCAGGTCACTCGCGTCCGCTGGCCGGCAGCTCCTCCAGGCAGCCACCAGCCGCCGCGTGGCCGTCGCTCATTCCGCGCAGGCGCAATGCTTCCGTTTCCTCGCATCCCACTTTCTCCGAGGTGGGAATAGGAGGATCGAGGAGGCGCATGCGTCCTCCTGCTTTCGGGACCATGGAAGGGAAGGGAGCTTCCAAACTGGGGCAAAGGTGGCCCCGATGTGGAGGAGGAAGGGGGAGGAGAGGGGACCGGGTAGACCGCGTGCGCAGTGGCGCGCGGCGGCTTCTCGGATCCCGGGAAGCTTGCCTTTTGCGCGTGCGCCGCGCTGGCTCAGTGCCCCCGGGAGACGCGAGTGGCGGGAACCCCGGCTTCTAACCGGAGTCCCCCGAGCGCAGCCAGCCATTGCGCGCTACCTGGCCAGCCGAGGGCCTAGCCGAAGGGCTGAACTGCAGCAGCTCCGAGATCAGGGCTTTGCAGCGTTCGGAGAGTTCGAGGCCATCGGGGTAGAGCACGCCGCGCTTCTGACGCCGGGGCAATCCCGCGATGTCCGAGTCGTCGAAGGGCATGCACCCGGTGACCATGACGTAGAGCACGACGCCCAGGCTCCACACGTCGTACTTCTTGGGGTCATAGGGGATGCCCAGGAGCACTTCGGGGGACGCATCGGCTGCTGAAACGGGGGACGCATAGGCTGCTGACCCGCAGTAGGTGGTGCTCAGGTCCGGGTAGCCGTGCGCCTGGCGACCAAAGCCGAAGTCGGTGAGCTTGACGCGGCGCTCGTCGGGGCTCAGCAGCACGTTTTCGCACTTGAGGTCGCGGTGCACCAGATGGTGGTCGTGCAGGTAGCGCACGGCGCCGGCGATCTGCCCAAAGAGGTCGCGCGCCTGCGACCCGGGAATGCGCCCGTTGCGCTGCACGGCCTGCAGCAGGTCAGTGGCCGCTGCTTCCATCACGATGTACAGCTTCCCATTGCACACCTCGATGAACTCGAAGACGTGCACGATGTGGGGGTGTCGCACGCCCCGCAGGATAGACAGCTCTCGCGGCAGGAACTTGTTGACGAAGTCCGGAGGAGCCCGCCGTCGATCCACCACCTTGATAGCCACCGTCCCCTTGTACTTCTTGGACGTGGCCACCTTCACCTTGGAATAGCTGCCCTCTCCAATCGTGCGGCCCAGCTTATAGCCGAGTTCGCTCAGGAGTTTGTCGCTCGACATGGTGGCGCCAGGGGCGCGCGGGGTGCAGGAGGCGGCTGCTGTCTGGGTGCGGCCGGACCCCGATATCGGGCCTAACCCATGGCGCTTGGCACCTGCACACCCGCACCCCCATGTGCCCACTCCCAGGCCCCCGCCGCCGCGATGCCTTTTATTGCCTCGGTAACAATTTCTGCCTTGTGAAGTGACCAAGGGCGTCACTCTGCTTCGGGGGTGGGAGCCGTCCGGACCCCGCCCCGCGGGTCTCCCCCCCGCCAGCCCCTCATGCTTTGTGACTCATAATCACCCTGAATAGTGGGTTTCCGACGGGAGGAACTAGCAAGGGGTCCCAACCAGCATCGGGGTAGCAGAACCCATTCTGAGTTTGGGGTGCCACTTCATGAATCCGAATCCAAGCACCTGCCGCTCCCCCAACTTCTTGAACCCCATCCGTAACCATAAGAGCCCTGGACTGCCCACCGAGCTCCCCGCTGGGGGTGAAAACAGGAACGAGGGAGCGTAAGTCCCAGATCCGGTTTCCGCGGGAGCTGGCGGTTTTCGATCGGCCCGTGCATGGCTCCAAGGGGATGTGAACCCGGGGGGTCTTTAGTGCAAGGCCCACTGAGCCCGACGGCTACGGCAACAACGACTGAGTTACGCCTCGTCCAGGGGAATACAGATTAAGGACTCCTCGGTCGCAGCCAGGGCGCAATGTCACAGCCGGGCGCAGCCACCTTAGCGCTCCGGAGCCGTCGTAGAGCAGCCCGCAGCTGCGCCGCGGAAGACCTTCTTCCGTACTTCCGCCACACTCAGCATGGCGCACCACCGTTGTCGTCACTTCCGCTCGCGACCGGAAGTGCGGGCTCCTGCAAGTATGGCGGCGTCAAAGGTGAAGCAGGACATGCCCCCGCCAGGGGGCTATGGCCCCATCGATTACAAGCGGAATCTGCCGCGTCGGGGACTGTCGGGTCAGTGCCGCTTTGCAACAGGGTCTCAGGGTCTGGGTCCTCGGGATGTTGCGGTGGAAACGGGGCCCCGGGGCATGCAAGTGGACCTCAGTTTCCCCGGCGGTGGGATGGGGAAAGGAGTCCGGGGACCCCCGAGCGTTTATTCACCTCTGGTTCCTCTTCGTAACAGCCCAGGAGGTCGATCCCATTCATAACCTTGGCCACTCTTTTTTTTTTTTTTAATAATTACTTATCTAATTTTTATTTATCGTCTTCGTTTTTATTATTTAATTTTAATAGAGAGAATGAGAGAGAGAGGGAAAGTGAGAAAACAAACCTCCAGATATGGGACTCGAACTGTGGTCAACCTGTGGGAGCCCAGCGACGTAACCACCCTGCCACTTGCCAGCCCCGACCTCAGCCACTCTTGAGTTACCAGGTGGGGAAACTGAGGCCCGGGAGAGGCAGAGCAATGCTGGGACCGAAACTCCGACTCCAGGGATACCTACAATGTTACATGCTGTGGTTCCTTGCTGGCAGATCCCAGTGCAAGGGTGTCCCAGGAATCCTATTCTTAAAGTTTTCAAATGTTTTAAGTAATATTTGCAATTTTATGGTCAGATTTTTTTTTAAGAATTATTTTATTTAACTTTATTAATTATTATTATCATTGTTATTTTCCAGCTTGATCAGAGAGAGAGAGAGAGAGGAAGTGAGAAAGAAAGCCACCAGGTCCGAGACTTGAACCATGGTCTGCCATGTAGGAGTCCAGCGCCCTTAACCACCATGCCATTTGCCAGCCCCTTTGTGGTCAGATTTAACATAGAAAGATGTAAAAGAGAATGTAAAAGATGCCCATATTCAACACCCAGAGTTAACAAAGAAATACAAAATGTAAAGCAGAAATTAAGTGCGGATACATTGCTTAATTCGTAAAACTTTACACTAAACCTAGCACGTTATGCTACAAGTAATGCCTCGATTGAAAACCCCAAACAGGACTGGCAGGTGGCGTGGCGGTTAAGGCGCTGGACTCCCACATGGCTGATCTCCGTTCAAGTTGTGGATTTAGCAGCTTGTTTCTCACTCTCCCTCTCTCTAGTCAAATTGAAGAAGAAATAAAATTAAATAATTTTTTGAAAATGCACATGGTTTAAAAAAAAAATAAAAAGGAATTCACATAATAGAAAGGATAGCATCAGGGCCAGCAGGTGGTGTGGTGGTTAAAGATGCCACACTCCCACATGGCTGACCGTGGTTCAAGTCCCGGGTCTGGTAGCTTGCTTTCTTATCCTTCCCCTCGCCCCCTGTCTCTCTCTCTCTCTCTCTCTCTCTCTCTCTATCTCTCGGCTCTGTCCTTCTCTGGTCAATTAAAATACGCAAATGAATAAGTAAAGTTAAATCAAATTATTATTTTTTTAAAAATATAGAATGATCAATGTTGGGTAAAAACTCAAGCCTTTCGGCTTTCTTGTATCCCAGAATAGAGACTGGCAAACGTTTCTTATAAAGGACCAGATAAATATTTTACGCTTTGCTGGCCAGAGACAGTTGTCCAGACAACAATTTAGAAATATTAAAGTGGAGGGACCAGCAGATGGTATAATGGTTAGGTCGCTGGACTCCCGCGAGGTCAGCTGTAGTTCAAGTTCATAATCCAGCAGCTTAAACGTCACGCTGGGCTGTTGTAGTCTAATCAGCGAGAAATACGGGGGCATCCAGACAGAGCCAAATTATAGCAGCTCTTTATTAATAGGCTGGCCAGGGACCAGCAGTTAGCGTAATGGCTATGTCGCTGGGCTCCCATGTAGTTGACCACGGTTCGCGTCCCGGACCCGGTGGCTTAAAACTCATGCCGGGTGCGTGTGCATGCGTGCCCAAGATCTCGAGAGGAGAATGGAGGAGAAGGGATTACGGCGTGGCCATCCCCCCTGGGGTGTGATTTCTCACTTTCTGTCTCTCTGGGGGCAAGCACACACTCCTTATAGCAGAAAACCTCTCCAAAAAAAGAAAAAAAAAGGGGGGGGGGACCAGCAGTTAGCGTAATGGCTATGTCGCTGGGCTCCCATGTAGTTGACCACGGTTCGCGTCCCGGACCCGGTGGCTTAAACCTCATGCCGGGTGCGTGTGCATGCGTGCCCAAGATCTCGAGAGGAGAATGGAGGAGAAGGGATTGCGGCGTGGCCATCCCCCCTGGGGTGTGATTTCTCACTTTCTGTCTCTATGTCTCTGTCTGTCTGGCGAGCGCACGTGCCCTATAGCGAAAATCTCTCAAAAAAAAAAATAAAAAGAAAAAGAAAAGAAAAGAATTATTTATTTAATTCCATTTGTTATTGTTATTTATTTATTTATTTGACCACCAGAAAGAAAGAAAGGGAAAGTGAAAAAGCAAGCCACCAGGTCCGGGACTTGAACCATAGTCAGCCATGTGGGAATCTAGCGCCCTTATTCACCACACCGCTTGCTGGCCCCTTTTACCAACTTTTGTTGAAGCATATACAAACTCACCGGTCTTTCTTGGCTTCAGGCAAGTGAAGAAGACACTCCTTTTGGTAGTCTTTGTTTTTGTTTTGTTTTGTTTTGTTTTGTTTTTGGAGAAGTTTTTGCCATAGGGTGTGTGCGCTCACCAGAGACAGAAAGCGACAGAGAGAAAGAAAGAGACAAAGCCAGGGGGGATGGCCACGCCGCAATCCCTTCTCCTCCATTCTCCTCTCAGGATCTTGGGCACGCATGCACACGCGCCTAGCGTGAGTTTAAGCCACCAGGTCTGGGGCTCGAACCACAGTCAAATCCATGGGAGTCCTGCGACATAGCCATTACACCAACTGCTGGTCCCCTTAGTCTTTGTTTTGTGCCTGGATTTCACTCACCAGTGAGTGAGCACTTGGCATGCCGGGCCCTGACCTGAGCTGCTCACAGCCTGGCTGAGGAGACAAGACAGATTGGCCAGAATTTCTTTCCCTTTTTCTTTTTCCCATTTAATTTTATTTATTTATTCATTCATTTTTTTTTAATTTGATCAGAGAGAGAGAGAAATAAAAACACCAGGTCCAGGACTCAAACCGTGGTCAGCCATGTGGGAGTTTCCAGTGCCTTAACCACCACGCCACCTGCTAGTCCCAATTTGGCCATAACTTCTAGTTGTGATGCCTGGGATAACCAGGGCTTCCTTGAACCAGGGTGGGCCTGGAGAACCTCTGAGAAGGAGCCTGTCTAGCCTAGGGAGCAGGAAGCGGCTCTGTTCTCCATCCCACACCCTGCCCCATCCTGGCTTCCAGTCTTACCCCCATTTTTATGATAAAGAATGTATGCACAGGACCAGGGAATGTGGCCTGGTGGTTAAGGCAGCTGGATCCCACATGACCAATGATGTGGTTCTAGCCCTGGATCCAGTGGCTTGAAAACACATTGTTGTGTGTGTGTGCATGCCTGCCCAAGATCCCAAAAGGAAGGAGAGATGGAGGAGAAGAGATCGTAAGGTGACCATGCCCCTGGGAGGATGCTTACTTTCTTTCTTTTTTCGCTTTTTCTTTTTTTAGGAGGTTTTTCTTTTTTTTTTTTTTGGCTTTAAGGCGCGTACGCTCACTAGACAGACAGAGAGAGACAGAGAGACAGAAAGCAAGAAATCACCCCCCCCTGGGGGGATGGCCACACCGCAATCCCTTC